TGATGGAGCTGAAGCTTTTTGTAAAACTTGTCTGAGTAAGGCAGAAGACAAGAGGCCATGGGGTCAAGATGTCAAGGGTCAGAGTGAGCTGTGCCTGCAAGGAATGGCTGAGAAGCAGCTGTCTTGACCAAAGAATTGTATCCTGAGTCACGTCTGATCCTGAATTGTGACATGTTCATTTCCTGATTGTTGGTGAGTTCTATGTGGCAATTGTAACACATTTTATGAATCTAGTGGAGTATTTGACAGTGTTGTGGCAGAGAGGGTTAATGTCAGGACTGATAAAAATGTTGGCGCAAGGGAAGGCCTGTCTGATTTCTGCTTTATAGGAATCCATTTTATACTGATGGTGATTCACTTTCCCATTGTTAAGTTAGAGGAAGTCAGATGCCACTCCACATGCCATTTTTACAGGATGCCCATAATGCCAATCAACTCTCAAGCAGGCTTCCAATAGCAGTATGTGATGTAATCACCATAGTCCAGGCTGATCTTCAGCATAGGAAAGCCAGGAACTCTTTGGCTCTTTCACTCAGAGGGATCAAGTCTTCAGGGCCTGACTAAACCTAACCAGACTCACATCCTAACAGACTACCATAGAAACCATATACCATTTTATTGTTTACAAAGAGAACTTGCCTTTTTCAATGACTTGAATATTCATGAGCACAATCCAGGAGGACTCTTTCTTAGAAGAACAAACCAGGGAAAGACAGATCAAGAAAAAGAGTGTTGAAAGGTAAGTACTAGAAGGCTGACCAATCTTGGGGACCATTCCATCCAAGTCACGATAAACCCTGATGAACCATAGGAAAGTTGGAATCACAGTCTTTCTCGTTCCCTCTCTCTCTAGGTCAATATTGGTAAATTTTTGTTAAATGAGTTTCTGTAAAATTGATAGTTGCTGACTTTAAGCCAATTATAGATCAGCCTTGATAAGTGCTGCCAATTACTGAAAGCATTATGATCATTTCAATAGATGGCTTTTCTTCACCGATTCTACTTTTATTTGTGCAAATTTGAATGGTACCGGTCACTCTCATATATCAAGCAATTAGAATGGAATCATAGGCTTCCCAGGACACTGTGGAAATGCCTATATGGATTTAGGTGGAAGATTGGCATGCTACAGCCTCAGAGCCAAACTGGAGTAATACCTATGAAGCCCAGAGTACTTGGTATCTGGCCCTTTATGTAAAACGTTTGCTGACCTCTGTTGTAGACAGTGGCTTTGTCATCTTCAAACCAAAGAACTTCCCTTACCCAGGGCTCTTCCCAGGAACATTGTTGAACTCACTTGCTTTGGACACATCCTGAGAAGGGATCAATTGCTAGTGGAGGACATCATGTTTTATGAAGTAGAGGACCACTGAGGGTGAGGATGACCATAGTGACTTTCATTAGCATAAAGACCACAACAATGGAGTCCATGCTTGTGATTGTGAGGATAATAAGTTCTTGTTGTGATGTGCTGTGGAGTCGGTTCTGACTCACAGCGACCCTGTACAGGGTGTCTGAGGCTGTAAATCTTTATAGGAGCAGAAAGCCTCATCTTTCTCCCATGGAACAGCTGGTAGTTTTGAACTGCCGACTGTGAGATTAGCAGCCTGGTTCGTAACCACTACGCTACCAGAGCTCCTTGTGAGGATGGTATAGACACAGGGATTTTGTTCTGCTGTACATAAAGTCACCATGGGTCAGCGTGAATTCACTGGCAGCTAACAACATCACCAAGTGCTGTGGTTCATAAGTTATAGTCAGCTGTACCCTTCCTGGGTGTGGATACTCTATATTCAAGTGCTCAGGGGCTCTCATGGTTCTGGTACCAAGTTTTAGTGATGAAAACAATCCATTTTCTTAAAGAATCTGCTAGAGTGGACCACAATGTGGAGATTAACAATGAACAATGACCCTCAGTCTGAAAACTGTCAAAGACATGCATTACAAAAGTTAATCCATCACCATTCTGTTTTAGTCACTTGACTAGGCTTCAGATGTCTCCGGGTTGTTGTGAGGCAATAGGGGACATTTATTCTCATGAAAGATATTTTGTATATGGGAGGGGACCACAGTAACCTTAGAAAGCACACTAATTTTTATCCAGTAATTGATCAAACTGGTGTGGTGCTATAGAATAACCACTGGACTGTTAACCACAAGGTTGGCAGTTCAAACTTGCAAGCTGCTCTTTGGAAACGCTATACAGGGTCTCTATGAGTTGGAACTGACTCAACAGCACGTGATACAGAGTCACTTGCGTGATACTGACAAATTTACTGTCCCCAAATTTTCTCAGTTGCAACCTAAAGATCTGTGATTCTTTTTTTCATCCCTCCCTACTCCGCCTATTAGAGATCAGCCTTGAAGAACATTCAGGATTTCTGCTTGGAATGTTCACCTGCCATTGTGCACACAGCCAATATCTGCAGGGTTTCCCAGTTTGAGGCAAAACTGACCAGGAATCCTGCTTCAGAGCATCTTGCAGAGTGACCTGGAAGGTTCTGAGACACTCAGACACCCAGACATGTTTCAGGAAGAGTAATTCAGACTGTTACCTGGGGAAGAAGTGACCTGCATGCCTGGCCGTGTCACCTACAGTGAGAGATTCCCTGCAGTTTGCAATTCTGACATTAAGTGGTCTCTTGGCATCAACCAACTTTTAGAATTTATTGAGGATCACATCATGATCTCTAAGGGGGCTAGCATCTGGAGAGTTAACATTAGATTCAGTGAGTGTATTGGAGACAAGGACACAGTGTGGGTGAGTGTGTAGGATGATGTGGGTACAACAGCACCCAAGTCTGATGAAACAGGTGCCATAGACTTGAACACAGAGTAGGAAGGACTGTGTTCCAGAGAGCTCTCAACGGCTGACTTTTTGGAAGTAGATAACCATGGTGCCTCCTAGACTTGAACCTCCCACCTTTTGATGAGTAGCAATCACATTAACTGTTACTCACACGTGTAATGAGTGTGTATGAAAACATGCTTGGCGGATCAGGCTTTGAATGTGTGTGGGGAGGTGTGAGGTGATGATACAAATGGGGTTAATGTGTGGAGGTGCTCTAGGTGTTAAAATGTCTAGGAGCTAGCACACATATACGACTATTGACTCTGGAGCACAACTTTTCAGAGTCCACATTTCAGAGGTGCCCCTTGCTAGCTATGTAATTCTGGGCAATGTGACAGCAAACATCATGTTCAGTACAGTTTGCTGCCCCTCCATTACCCTCAGTGGGCAGCTTAGACCTTAGTAAGTGTTGTTTTTTTTTTAATGTTTTATTGTGAATTATGTGATAGTTTACATGGGAGAACATGAGTTTTACATTCATTCTATTGTATATCGTCTCATTGCCATGGTTACAATCCCCTCCATGCAATCCTTTCCCCATGCCCCCCAGGTCTTCAGCACACAGTCACTCTCCCTCTCTGGATCTAAAGTCTCCAGCTGCTCCATCGCTCCACGTCATCTCTGGCTCCATTTCAGGCATCACTGATTCTCTGGGTACGGTCCTGCTCTCTGCTCTTCTCCCTTGAGTCCTAGGGACTTCCGCTCCTAGACTGAAAAGTTAATCACTCCCCTCCTTGCTATAAAATATCTACCTTTACATTTCCAACCCTCACAATCAGTCCTGATAACAATTATTCACTATTGTATCATAAGAGACCCCATCTGCATTTCATTGCATCAGCCCCGCCTAGTCAGATTGAATACTACTCATTGGAGATTCTACCTTCCTCCAGGCCCTCTGGATCTAGGTTCCCTCTTGAAAGCTTGTAAGCCAGTCACTTCTTGCCTTTAGAGCCCCCCACCCCCCCATTTTGGGTAGCCAATGTCCAAGTTGTCCATCCCTGTCAACTCTGTGTGTGGAGGGGGTGGGAATGATTCTTGCTGTAAGGACTTGTTCCCTCTTTTGAGCTACTGCTTCCATAGGTGTAGGTCAAGTAAGTGTTTAATAAATGTTATCATCTTTACACAGTTAGAGCTGAGTTTAGCTGTGACTTGCTTTAGCAGAAAGGATATAGCCAAAAGTTTCTGAGCAAAACACTTAAGAGGCGTCACATGTTTTTATTCATTTCACTCATCCATGAGAAAAGCTCTGCCCTAGGAAACCCTGACCTTCTAGCCTGGGTCCCAAATAGGACTCAAAGAGCACAGCCATCCCATTTGGCCTCCAGACCCATGAATCCTAAGGTAAGTGTTGGTTATTGTCTGCCACTGAGATTTTTCATTAGTTGTTGTTGTTGTTAAGTGCCATCAAATTTCAGCCCACCAAACTTGGGATTCAAACTGACCTTGCAGTCCAGCTCATTAATTAGCCTGCAGCACCAGGCAAGCATCTTAATTCCACTATTTCTTTTTCAGGGATAATAATAGGAAGAATAATGCTGCATACTGCTAAGATAATTATGTACACTAACCCTTATAACTCACATAGAACATTCCCCAGCACATTGAAAATCCAAACCAATAGCTATGAATTCCATCTAGATTCCTGGCTACCCCCATGTGTGTCAAAGTAGAACGTGCTCCAATGACCAATTTTTCAGAAATAGACCTTGCTTCTTCTGAGGCTCTTTTGCGTGGACCATCAACTTTTCAGCTGACATTTATTAAGCCCTTTTTTTGTTGTTATTAAGTGCTGTCGAGTCGATTCCGACTCAGTGACCCTGTTTAGGTTTTCTGAGGAGCATCTGGTAGGGTTGAACTGCCAACCTTGTGGTTCGCAGTCCAGTGCTTATGGTATAGTGCCACACCAGGAGTCCTTAGTGTTTAATAAGTGTTATCTGTAACTATTACTTGTGTGTTAATAAGTGTTATCTGTAACTATTACTTGTGTGTTAATAAGTGTTATCTGTAACTATTACTTGTGTATTAATAACGTGGGTTAAGAGTGGGTGAACTCATCCTCAGGAGTCTGAGCACATGGGTGGTGTGGAAGAGGGAGAGCCAGGTGTGTGCCTGGTGTGTAGGCATCCATGTAAGGGAAACTGTACCCTCAGCAACAGTGTTCATGGGCGCGCCTGGCACCCATGGCCTGAGAGTCTAGACTAGACCCGGATGATAGCAGCCTGTCTGCCTCGCCCAGGCTGTGTCCACACAGCCCCTCGGAGCCACCCTCTCTGTGGCCCAGCCTCTCCAGGTTGACGTAGGCACCGGTGGCCTCAGCTGGAGCCTGGGCACGACATTTCCGGTGGTGCCTGCCGAGGGCTCCACAGCAGACGAACAGCGTGAGGGGCAGTCCAATGATGGCAGCTACACTGCCGACCACCACGTTGATGAGCCGTTGTGTGCTCTGGGCGTCCACCACCTCGTCTGTGGAGAAGATGATGCACTGCTCCTTGCGGGGAGCCAGGTCTCGAGTGCACACGCATGCCACATACTTGAGCTGGGGTGCCAGCCCATCAATGGTGACGCTGGTCTTGCCAGGCTGCACGGCCACCCGCAGCATCTCATGCTGCCCAAAGACTGCATAGAGGACGTTGAAGGCAGTGGTGTTCCCAGCCTCAGGAGCCCTCCACACCAAAGACACGCTGTGGTACGTGTCCCCTACCACCTTGAGGGACTGCACCATACGTGCCTCCTGGGGCCCCGCTGGCTGACCTGAGAGCTCTCTGGGGATGCCCATCGCCAAGTACCTGCGGGTTCGCTCCTCCTCCGTGTTGGGCGCAAAAGTCCAGGGGGCCAGGACAGGAGGTTTGGGGGCATGGAGAATGCGTCTGGTCGCTGGCTTGTCCTTGTAAGCAGCAGCTTCCGCCCCTTCACCTGTCCTTGCCTGCAGCGCCTCAGGGCCCCCACTCTGCTCTGTGAAAGCCTGGGCCTCAGTGACAGTCAGGGATATGTGCATCTTGGAGGTGCCCAGGAAGTTCTTGGCCAGGCAGATGTAGTCTCCAGAGTCTTGGTGGGACACTTTTGGAAGATCCAGCAGAGCCCAGGTCATGCCATCCCGGGAGACCTTCTGGTGCACTGTGGGGAGAAGGGCTTCATGGGACCAGGGAGAGCATCCCCCAAGTTTCCTTCATAGGCAAGTCTACAGCCCCCACAGAGGTGCCTGTCATCCTAAGAAACACGGGGATCACTCAGCTTTTCTTAGTGGGATCAGGATTTCTAGCTAGGGGAAAAGCCTAAGAATGATCAGTTATCCGGGTATAAGATGTGAAACACTGTGTTCTACAGAGCACCAGGGTTCTGTAGACATGACCCCTTAAGGCAGAGGGCAGGTGCATTGGGGGTAAAAGGATGCAGGGATGCGATGAAGAGAAGTGCTCTGCCTCACAGCCCTTCAATCATAGCATCTCCAACTTCCTGTTTCACATGGCAGAGCCCCTTGTACAATTTGTCTATATATTGATTTCAAACCCTGTCCTAGAGCAATGATCCCCAAGCTAGTTGCAGAATACAAGAAGAAAGAGGGAAGGCACTGGACTTAAGCCATTCTTCCTCATTCCCCCAAGTACAGAAGAAAGCACACCAGGTGTGGAGTTAACCAAGTCTTGTTAAGACCCCAACTTCTTCATCTATGAGCTGCATGATGTGAGTCACACATTTCACTCCTCAGAGCTGCAGAGTACTCATATGCAAAATAAGACATATAATCAGATGGCTAAAGTTCAAAGTCTCAATACTCATAATGCACTTAGCACGGTGCTAGAGTTCAATAGATGGTAATGCATGCGGTTAATTATTTCTCATGATAAACCAGTTGCTGTCAAATCAAACCCAGCTCCTGGTGACCCCATGTGTGTCAGAGCAGAACTGTGTTCCATAGGGGTTTAGTAACAGATCTTGAGGAAGTACATTGGCAGATCCCAAGCCACTTCTGAGTGGATCCAAACTCCAACTTTTGAGTTAGTAGCTGAGCTTGTTAATTATTTGTAACACCCAGAGACTCATAGTGATACTAGCTTAATATTGACACCTTGGAAATCTACTATGAACATTAATACATCAATATACTAACTTTCTGCTACCAGAAAGCCAGCTTTTGCTCCTTTCCTGGTGCAGCCAAGTCTACAACAAAGTGGTTCATGGGATGTGGTAGGAAAGAATGTGAACTATTGTCATTCATCAAGCCAGTACCTATGTCCTGCCTCTAGGCAGAGCTTGCCCATGGATAGCAGCCAGCTTGCTTAGACCATCGCCCTGTTCCTGGCAAACCTAACCCTATTTTCTCTCATTTAGGGATGCCCCCCAATCAGAGATCACAGCCCATCAGTCCTTAGACTCACATACCTGTGCCATTGAGTGGGTGCCCGTCGGCCCTTCTCCAACTCATCTCAGGCCCAGGGATCCCAGTGGCTCCACAACGTAGCAGTGCTGTGCTGCCCACAGGGGATGTGAGGCTGGCCACACTCGGGTGGAGCTCCGGACCCCGGCACCTCCTTAGTTCCAGCTGGTTGAAGGCCACCCCAGCCAGGCTGCGTGGGCTGGCACACCACAGCCTGACTTCGATGAAGGCTAAGTGTGGGGCCCACCCATCCATGAAGTGGACCAGGTCATAGAGCCGGCAGTCACACACCCAGGGGTTGTCCTGAAGCCCTGAAAATAGACATACCACATGGTCACAAGACTGGCAATTACTGCTGCCATTCTTAGAATGATCCTTGCAAACCACTGACCCTTCTGTGAGGATTTCTGCAATCTCTGGAGTACCAGAACCTAGCTCTAAGAATGCTTCACTAAGTCCTGGCACCTGTGATCCCAGAATAAGTGGTACTTGCTGCATCACTTCAGCAGTGAGGGTGGCTGCTTTGACACAGGCTCAAGTGGAGGTAAGAGGCGTAAGAAGGCAAGAAAACCTAATTCTGTGACACAAAAGTGAACATGTTCATCAAGTTGAAAGCATGGCGCTGCTCCCACCTGTGAAAGAACGTTTTACAGATGGAAGAAGACACCATGTCCTTCATTCTAAGACACAATGCCTTGTTACCTGTTTGTATGTCTGAAATGTAAAACTTCCACCAACAGAAGTTGTTATTAAATTAATCGTGTGTCTAGTCATCTGACATCTTACCCAATTGCATCCATACAGCTGACATATTTGGAAGGGAGTGTCAGGGGTTGCATTGTGATGGGCTGGCACAACTGTGAATCTCTGCTCCTTTGGAGCACTAGCTGGAAGGGTGCTGTTCCCTTCTCCCACCTCTGTCCCCCCACTGCTCCTCTAGTGAAAGCTGCCCAACATCACCAGTGAAATACACAATTCATCTGCAACATAAGACTCATCACTGCCCAGCTGTGGTGGTTAGCTAACTGGTCTCTACCTCATCACAAGAAACTCATTCAAAGGGCAAACTTCAATGACGGTTAAACAATCACCTTCCAAGTTGGCAAAAGTTGAGCATTTTGGCCATTTTCATCGTAAGCTCTACAATTGTGCAAATGTCCAACCTTTTTTTTTTTTTTACTGCTGCCTCCCAGCATACAGAGCAGGCCCCACGTTGCTATTAGGTGATGTTGAGTTGGTTCTGACTCACAGCAACCCCAAGTATAACAGAATGAAACACTGTCCAGTTCTGCGCCATTCACACAATTGTTATTACGCTTGAGCCCATTGCTGCTGCTGCCACTATGGCAATCCATCTCATTGGGGTCTTCCTCTTTTTCGCTGATCGTCTACTTTATCAATCCTCCAGGGACTAGTCCTTCCTGATAATATGCCCGAAGCATGAGACAAAATCTTGCTATCTTTGCTTCTAAGGAGCATTCTGGCAAAGATGGAAAGATTTTGTCTCATGCTTCAGGCAAAAGCAGATCAATCCAATATGATAGGAAGAGTGCAAAGCTGATGTTCTCCCATGTAAACTATCATTCAATTCACAATAAAAAAAAAATTTTTAAAGTAGATCAGTCCAGCAATTCCTCTATTTGGTATTTATCCACAAGAAATAAGAGCCAAAACACAAGTAGATACATGCACACCAATGTTTATCACAGCGCTATTCACAATAGGAAAAAGATGGAGACAAACTGAGTGCCCATCAATGGAAGAATGAATAAACAAGCTTTGTTACATACACACAATGGACTATATTATGCTACCTTGAAGCTGCAGAACACCTCAATACCTAGATGAACCTTGAGGACGTTATGCTGAGTGAAATTAGCCACAAAAAGACAAATATTGCATAAGACCATTATTGTGAAAGCTTAAGAAAAGATTTCCATACTAAAAGGAAAATTCTTTGATTGTTACCAGAGATGGGAGGGAAGGGACAGTAAGGCACAGTTTAGGGGACAGACACATGATAGCTCAGGTGATGGGGAGGGCAGTTACACAAGAAGAGGGAGGATGGTAGAAGAACAAGGAATATAGGGGAAGACCTAGGGAGACTTGTAGGGGCTAAATGGGACAGAGCTAAATAGTGATGTATACTCAACCTTGGATCAACAGGGCTCTGTGATCAAGACATAGTCTGAATGGGTAAAGGAAGGGAAATAATGTTAAGGTGCTTGACTGTCTTATGGATATTATTGGGTTCCCTTGCCTACTACTGTAAAATAGACATGTAAGTGGGCTAGAAAGAAATATTAGGAAACATGATTAGAGAAAGCTTGTAAGCCTGTCTTCAGTCTATAACTGACTGGAATACCTAAAAGGGCTACTAGAATTCACCCAGTGAAATACCCTTCTTGTTAAGCCTTTGTAGAGTATGGGGCATTATGTGGAATCCTGAGCCCCATGCCAAACTTAATCTTAAGTGGGACGTTCCCACTTGAAAGGTCATGCAGACCAACCTGCAGCGGCTAAAGGAACAGAAGATACTTCTTGAAAGAAAGAAAGCAGGGAGTAAAAAGAAAAATAAAAGCTGTTACTAGAAGCTATTTGGCTGTTACAAGAACAAAGGCAAACTATTCACCTGGGAGTCATCAAGGCAAGAAAAATCAGCCCATCAGGATAACCCCCCTTCCAAGACTGAAACTCAAAGGGAACACACAAGCAGTTTTGTAAGCTTACTGGTCTACTTGTGAGTGAAAATGGAAGAAAGGCAGCAATGAAGACATGGACTGAGTTTGACCATGTTCCATAGACATCCATTGACCTTGAGACGAGAGAGAGAAGAGGAAGGGCTGGTTGGTCTGAAGTTTAGGGAGACTTGGAAACTCCTGAGCCCATGGGCACTGACGGAGCCATTGGAACTAGAACTGAGAGTTAAGCATCCAGATGATCTGAAGTGGGGGGAGAGGCATGCAAGAATGCCTAAACTTGCAAATAGTACCTATTTGACCTAGTTTGGATGGCTTGCTGATCAGAACTTGACTAGAGGAAGGTAAAGACATTTGATACAGGAATCAAGTGTAAATTGCTACAATAAGCAAATTGACCTTTGCCTATGGATGTATTTGCTCAAAATTCCAACGGATGTAGTTGCTCAAAATTCCAACCGAGAGGGAAGCAGTCTTCAATCAAGAATCAAGAATCAAGAATCAAGGATCAAAGATCAACCTGTTTTCTTGCTAAAGTTCTGGATAACTTTCTCAAAACACTCATAACAAGTAGATGGTACCATTCTTCACCATCCAAAACCTTGCCATGATCTTTGCCCTTGACTGATCCATTATTTAAAAAACCCAAAAACCCAGTACACAGCGTTGATTGTTGTTGTAGTTAAGTACCATCGAGTCTATCCTGACCCATAGCAACCCTGTGTAGGGTTTCCAAGGAGCAGCTGGTGAGCTTGAATCGCCAACCTTGCAGTTCAAACACCTTTGCAGTCTGGTGCATTAACCCACAGCGCCACACCAGGACTCCAAACAGGGTTGATAGGGATGGGAAATTTAGACATTGGCTACCAAAAATGGGGGGGGGGGCGGCTATAAGGGCACAAAGTGGCTGGCTTAAAAGTTTTCAAGAGTGTACTTAGTTTCAGAGCCAGGGGGATAGGGTAAAATCCCAACTGAATAGTTTTCCTGTTGTCTAGATAGATAGGTCTAAGGAGCTCCGGTAGTGTAGTGGTTACAAATCAGGCTGCGAACCGCAAGGTCAGCAGTTCAAAACTACCAGCTGTTCTGCAGGAGAAAGATGAGGCTTTCTGCTCCTGTAAAGATTTACAACCTAGGGATCCCTGTATAGGGTCGCTATGAGTTTTTCCAAACCAACTCCACAGCACATAACAACAACAACAACAGATAGGTCTGGTGAAAGAGGATGGGGAGGAAGGAGATAGGATTCTTTTGATTCAATAGTGAGTAATTGTTATCATGACTAATTGTGATTGTTACAAATACAAATGTTGTTGTTGTTAAGTGCCGTCAAGTCAGTTCTGACTCATAGTGACCCTTTATAGGGTTTCCAGGGAGCTTCTGGTGAGCTTGAACCACCAACGTTGCTATTCAAACCTACTTTGTAGTCCAGCGCATTAACTCACAGTGCCACTGTAAAGGTTATTGTTGTTGTGAAGTGCTGTCGAGTCAGTTCCAACCCATAACGACCCTGTATAGAGTTTCTGAGGAGCAGCTGGTAAGCTTGAACCACTGATCTTGCAGATCAAATGGTTTTGCAGTCTGACGCATTAACCCATAGTGCCACACCAGGACTCCTACTGTAGAGGTAGAAGATGTGAAACAAAAATGGGGGAGTAGTTAATCTTTCATTCCAGGAACAGAGAACCCTAGGACCATCAAGAGGGAAGAGCATGAGCAGAGAGTGGGATCCTAACCAGAGAAGCAGCAACACCAGAGATGGAAGCAGAGGCAATGGCAAGAGAGAAAGGACTGAAGACTCTAGACCCATGGAAAGAGAAGAGCTGCATGCCAGCAGGCAGGAAGCTGGCTTACAAATATGCCCTTTGGTGTTTTAAAACAATATATAGTTTCCGTGTGTTTGTGTGCATCCTAAAAAAATAGAGAATAGAGGTGAATACTGTTAACAGACGGTATATGGGCGGGAGGTAGGGCAGAGAATTATAATCATTGCAATGAAACAAAATATGATTGTTGTTGTTGTTAGGTGCCATTGAGTTGGTACTGACTTATAGCGACCCTATGCACAGCAGAATGAAACACTGCCCGATCCTGGGCTGATCACTACTGTTGCCACACTTGAGTCCATCGATGCTGCCATTGGCCATCTATCTCGTTGGGGTTCTCCCTCTTTTTCTCTCACCCTTCACCTTACCAAGCATGATATCCTTCTCCAGTGATTGGTCCCTCCTGACAACATGTCCAAAGTATGAGAGACGAAACCTGGCCATCCTGGCCTCCAAGGCACACTCTAGCTGCATTTCTTCCAAAATGGATCTATTGGTTCTTTTGGCAGCCCATGGCACTTTGAATATTCTCCTCCAACACCGCATCTCAAAAGCATCAATTCTTCTACAGTCTTCCTTATTCACTGTCCAGCTTTCGCATGCATATGAGGTAATTGAAAATACCATGGCTTGGATCAGGCACACCTTAGTCCTCAAGCTGACATCTTTGCTCTTCAACACTTTAAAAAGTTCCTGTGCAGCAGATTTGCCTAATGCAATATGTCATTTAATTTCTTGACTGCTGCTTCCATGAGTGTTGATAGTTGATCCAAGAAGAATGAAGTCCATGACAACTTCAATCTTTTCTCCATTGATAAGAATGTTGTTTATTGGTCCAGTGGTGAGGATTTTTGTTTTCTTGACATTGAGATGTAATCCATACTGAAGGCTGTGCTCTTTGATCTTCATCAGTAAATGTTTTATGTCCTCTTCACTTTCAGCAAGCAAGGTTGTATCATCTGCATATCGCAGGTTGTTAATGAGCCTTCCTCCAATCCTGACACCACGTTTTTCTTCATAGAACCCAGCTTCTCAGATTATTTGCTCAGCATACAGGTTGAATAAGTATGCTGAATAAAACCTTGTCACACACTTTTCTTAATTTTAAAACATTCAGTGTTCCCATGTTCTGTTCGAACAACTGCCTATTGGTCCAGGTACAGATTCCTCATAAGCACAATTAAGTGTTTCAGAATACTCATACTTTGCAATGTTGTCAATAGCTTGTCATGATCCACACAATCGAAAGCCTTTGTGTAGCCAATAAAGCACAGGTAAACATCTTTCTGGTATTCTCTACTTTCAGCCAAGATCCATCGGACATCAGCAATGATATCCCTCATTCCACAGCCTCTTCTGTATCCAGCTTAAACCTCTGGAAGTTCTCTGTCAATGTATACTTGCAGCTGTTTCTGTATTACCTTTAGGAAAACTTTACTGGCATGGGATACTATGGAGATTTGATGATTTCCACATTCCATTGGGTCACCTCTCTTTGGAATGGACACAAATACAGATCTCTTCTACTCAGTTGGCCAGATAGTTGTCTTGCAAATTTCTTGGCAGAGATGTGTGAGTACCTCCTGTGCCACCTCATTTTCTTGAAAGATTTCTATTTTTATTCCATCAATTCCTGATGCCTTATTCTTTGCAAATTCCTTCAATGCTCCTTGGACTTCCTCCCTAAGTATCATTGGCTCTTGATCATATGCTACCTCTTGAAATGGTTGAATATTAACTATTTCCTTTTGGTGCAATTATTCTGTGTATTCCTTCCATCGTCTCTTGATGCTTCCTGCATCATTCAATAATTTGCCCAGAGAATCCTTCAATAACGAAAGTCGAGGCTTGAATTTTGTCTTCAGTTCCCCCAGCTTGAGAAATGCTGAGTGTGTTCTTCTTTTTGGTTTTCTGATTCCAGATCTTTGCACATTTTGTTGTAATATTTGGTTTTATCTTCTCTAGCTGATCTTTTAAATTTTCTGTTCAGCTCTTGGATCTCTTCATTTCTTCCATTTCCACTCATCTGTCAGTTTGTCGTACTGTGGTGGCTTGTGAGTTGCTGTGATTCTGGAAGCTATGCTACCGGTATTTTAAATAATAAGCAGGGTCACCCATGGTGGACAAGTTTCAGATGAGCGTCCAGATGAAGACAGACTAGGAAGAAGGAGTGACGCACTACTTACGAATATTTAGTCACTGAAACCCTTATGAATAGCAGAGAAAGTATGATTGGTTGAGTACAAAACTGATGAATTGCCCTATAAAGTATCGCTCAATTCACAATAAAAGTTTTTTTTATTTTTATTTAAGTGGATCAATCAAGAGGAAAGATCATGGCAAGGTTTTGGATGGTAAAGAACGGTAACATCTGCTTGTTATGAGAGTGTTTTGAGAAAACTATGCAGAACTTTATCAGGAAATAGCTAAAGTTTCACCAAAGAGCCTTTCTCCACTTAGGGAATTTTCCTACTATTTCTCTCATCAAACAAGGGTAGTTTTGTGAGCCTTTCCGTGGGAAGTCATTAGGCATCCATGTTGCAGTCCCTATTGACTCCTTTTGTCTTCGAATCTTAAAAAATCTAAAAGGGGACCCATTTTTCTTCTGTTAATAATGTACAAAGGAGTGCAGTGACATGGTTAAATTCCCAGGACAATTAGTTCTCTGGAGTCCTGGTGTAGCTCTGTGGGCTAATGTGCCAGACTACAAAACTGTTTAAACTGCAAGGTCAGTGGTTCAAACTCCCCAGTTGCTCCTCAGAAACCCTATATAGGGTTGCTATGGGTTGGAACTGACTCGACAACACTTTACAACAACAACAACAAACTCGTTCTTTAAGAATACTTAGAAGGATTGCTTACAAAAGTGACTTGAACTTCATGAAGCTTATGTTGAGAAATAAAATTTACTTTTAAAATTCTATAATCTTTTATTTTCAGTTTTCAAAGAACTTTCTGAAATCCCCTTGTAGAGGAAGGGTCCTCTTCTCTGATATCTCCCACTGCCCCACTGGGGTTTCCATGCATTTCTGGGATAGTGGACAGACACCACATAGGCACAGATCCACCACTCACAACCCCCAGGCTCTAGTTGTCATTTGTACTATGCCCCTTGGGCATAGTCCTGGTGCTGTACCTTAAATGGCAAGCTCAGTGATTTGGACCTACAAGTGGACAATAAAACTGTCCACTTCCATAAGATGTTCGGCCTCAGAAACTCTATAGAGTTGTTCTCTAAGGTCATGAAATCAGAATTGACTCAAGGGCAGTAGGTTTTTTTACCACCTGGGATGGTGTGACAGTAAAGTTCTGTGAGGGGTTCAGTTTAGTGCTACACTAGCATGACAATCAGGAAAGGCTGAGTAATTGACAAGGATACAGATCATCATCTGTACAGAGTTCTCAGAGACTCCTCCCAAAAAGGGGTGTTCATGTGCTTTGGGTGCAGTTGAATATTGGGCTCCTCTAGGTGCAACTCTGAGATGGAGATCAGCATGCACCCAAGGTTTATCAAGAGGAGGACAGTCCAGAGGATCTACACCTGCAGACAGGATAGGACCTGAAGGAAGGAATGAAAGAAAGAATAAAGGAAGGAAAGGAGAAGCAGAGCTGTAATGGGGGCCTGGTCACAGCCTCAGCTGACCCCTAGGGTCTCTGAAGGTGAAAAAGTCCACCAGAGTTGTTCCAAATGGACAACTCTAGATGTTAATAGACTTCTACTCTGATAGATCTTGAATGAGGCCATCCCCAGGAACTGTGTGGCCTTGGATGAGGGGATTGTGCAGTTGAGACAGTCCCTGGTGCCTGAATGAAGGGTGATAGCTCTCTCTGTCCTTCCTTAACAGAGAGCCTGCCATGTCTCTGTGTTCTACCACCACTCACCTCCTGTGTGCTCGGCACTGCCTTTTTATCTACCATGCCAACCTACTGAGGTAGGTATTACCATTACCTTCCCTTAGCAGAAGCTGAGTGATTTGCCAAGGTTACACAGCTAGAAGAGGCAGAACTGCGGTTTGAATTCCAGCCACCTGATTTGGAGCTGGAACTCCTAAACCGCTCCCTCTCACTTAGAAAAATAAAAACAAAACCAATTGCCATACAGTCACCTCTGATTCATGGTAGCTGTGTGTGTCAGTTTGATTTCTTGACCACTGCCTCCATGAGTGTTGATGGTTGATCCAAGCAAAACTTGAGAACTTAAATCTTTTCTCCATTTATATGCATGTTGTTTATGGTACAATGATGACGATTTTTGTTTTCTTTGCATTGAGATGCGATCCATAGCAAAGGTTGTGGTCTTTGATCTTCATCAGTAAGTATTTTAAGTTCTCTTTGCTTTCAACAAGCAGTTGTATCATCTGCATATTACAGGTTGTTAATGAGTCATCCTCCAATCCTGATGCCACAGTTTTCTTCATATAATCCAGTTTCTCGGATTATTTACTGAGCATACAGATTGAATAAGTATGGTGAAAGAATACAACCCTGGCACTCACCTCTCCTAATTATAAACCATTCATTGCTCCCTTGTTCTGTTTGAACAACTGCCTATTGGTCTATGTCCAGGTTCCTCATAAGCACAACAAATTGTTCCAGAATATGCATACTTTGCAATGTTGTCCAGTAGTCAAGAAATAGAATAATGTATTGCATTAGGCAAATCTACTATATAAGACCCCTTTATAGTGTTGAAGAGCAAAGATGTCAGTTTGAGAAAGAAGCTGCGCCTGACCCAAGCCATGGTATTTTCAATAATCTCATAGGCATGTGGAAGTTGAACAGTGAATAAAGAAGACCATAGAAGAATTGATGCATTTGACTTACGGTGTTAAAGGAGAATACTGAAAGTACCATAGACTACCAAAAGAACAAACAGGTCTGAGTTGGAAGAAGTGCAGCCAGAGTGCTCCTTGGAAGCCAGGATGACCAGACTTCCATCTCTCATACTTTGGGCATATTATGGAGAGGAACCAGTCGCTGGAGAAGGAAATCATGTTTGGTAAAGTGGAGGGTCAGAGAAAAAGAGGAAGACCCCTAGTGAGATGGATTGGCACAGTGGTAACAGCAACAGGCTTGGGCGTAACAACAGTTGTGAAGTTGGCCCAGGACCGGGCAGTATTTCATTCTGTTGTGCATAAGGTCACTATGAGTCAGTACTGACTTAATAGCACCTAACAACAACAACAATGTATGTCAAAGTAGAACTGCTCCATAGGGTTTTCAATAGCTTATTTTTTCAGAAATAGATCACCAGGTCTTTCTTCTGAGGAACTTCTGAACAGACTCAAACTTCCAACCTTGTAGTTAGCAGGGGAGTTTGTTGACCATTTCCACTACCTAGGGACAGGTATTATTTCCAGGTAAAGAACCATGACTCAGAGAGGTCAAGTAACTTGCCCAAGACTCCAGCACTCACCAGGATTGTTTCCAGTGTAGGATGGAAGAAACCCGTGTCCCTCCTTACCTAGGATCAGCTTAGCATGGTAGCCAGGTAGAAAGGGCCCCATCTGCAAGTGGGCCCAGGTAATTAGCAGCTCCTGGGGGAGCCTCATCAGCTGGTTGCTGGAGAGGTCCAGAAAGGTTAGGTTCCTCACAAAGTGCGCAGCCTCCGTCGGAATGGCAGAGAGGCGGTTAGCCTGCAGGTCCAGCCGCTGCAGTTGAGGGACATCCCTGAGCGCCACCCAGGGGAAGGAGACCAGGCGGTTCCCGGGCAGCCGCAGTTCACGCAGGTGCTGCAAGCCTCGCAGCATGAGAGCGCTGAGGTCACTGAGGGCGTTGTAGGACAGCCACAATTGTTCCAGACGGCCCAGCAGCCTGAAGGCCCCGGCAGGCACTGTGCCGATGGCTGTGCGCTCCAGGCGCAGTTGGTAGGTGTCTGGAGGGATGGCGGCTGGGAGCAGTGTCATGTTGGGGTCATCGCACACCACGGTCCTGGTAACAAACATGGTGGACAGTTGAACAAGGACCCTGCTCGATAAGAGTGCCCCACCCCCACCTCCTGTAAAGAGACCTCCAGGATGTCAGACCCCATGGGTCTTAAAGAGAGGGCCCCGAGTAGCATTGCCAAGTTTTCAGATCATGTCCGGGGATCCTAGGGAGGCCGTTTGGGTTTGATGGGCTAGACTTAAGGACTTCAAACTGGAATGCTGACGTCCTATCCCACCTGTCCTGCCCTGAGAGGGAACAGTGAGAAAAACCAAGCTGATCTGGTGAATAGCCTTGTGGCTTAGATGAGGTTGTTAAACCATTCCTCACTTTTATAGCTGTTTTGACTTTCCTTCATTAAAAAAAATATATGTCATAGGCCATTTAAAGTGGAAATTCTTGCTTTCCTCTGAACCCTGACAGACTATTGATGACAGGGTTTCTCAGAGCTGGGACTTTGCACCCCACTGCTAAGATTCATTTCTTGGGATCTGTGTGACCCGTCTGTCTCTCAATTCCCCGTAATGCCAGGCATCGCTCACAGGGCAGGCACGGAACCTAAGTTCGACAGGAGTCCTGGCGTGGCGCTGTAGGATAAGCACGAGGCCTCAAGGTCATTGGAACTGCAACATCAGTGGCTCAAGCTCACCAGCTGCTCCTTGGAAACCCTATACAGGGTCACTATGAATTGGAATCAATTGGACAACAGTTAACAACAACAACAACAACAACAACAAGTTCATGTACAAGCTCAACCCAGGGCCTATAGATTATAGGATCCCAGTGACATAGACCATTATTGTGAATTCTGCACCCCAGGGCTACACCTAGATGGGGTTCATGTTAGCCATTCCTACTTTCTGCCTCACCAGGGAACCCTTAGATCTTGTTCTGTCAAGTTTAACACCAAAAAATGAACATAGATAAACAAGAAGTAGCTCTTGCCCTCGATGAGTGTATAGTTTAGGACTATATTTGATGTAATCACTGATGGCAGGTCCCTCACATAAAGTAAGCGCCTACTGGAAAAATTCCCAAGAGGCAAGGCAGAGCTTGGAGGCTGGGCATCAGGAGACTAGTCCTTTACCAGCCCGGCTTCCATCAGGAGTCCTTCTCTGCTCACACTGAGGGACAGTGTTGTGCTTTCATGAGGAAGTTATTCTCTTGTAATGTCATTGCGTACTGCAAGTAACAGGCCTTTCTGATGTAACACACGCACCAATATCCATCAGCTTAACCTGCACAATGGGCCTGATTGTCATGTAAGCTGTGCCCACTGAAAGGCACAGATATTTTAACCCAGTCTCATGTTCTTCACACATACATGGAACCTCACTTAAGTGAGGGGCGTTGTGGCCGTTCAGAGAAGTAGCAGATTCAGCCCCTCTCCCCACATAGGGGGTAATCCAGGTAGGGAAGAGAGACCAGTTAAAGCACTGATGATAATACAGGCTTGAGTACTGCAAGGAGAAAGGTCTGGTTGTAGGTAAAGAAAGGGAGTCGATAGGACTAAGGAGTAAAGGATCGAGGCAGGAATCAAAGGAAACTTTGAGACCAACACAAGCCAATAAGGGGCCAGTTGTGCATGAGGAGCTCGGAACGTGCCTGTGTGTGGGACCAGACCAGGCATTCTCAGGTAACCCAGTGCCTACAGGTCCCACACTCTGCTTGCAGCAATGGAACTTGGGGAGTGAGCAGCTGTCCTGGCTGCTCAGACATAGGGGCTGGGTTCTCTGAGGCCCTGGAGAGAGCAGGCTGGATGAAGGCTGTGCAAGCTGTACTTTAGGCCATGTAGGACTTCAGAGCTCTGACAGCCTTTAATGGTCTCACGCCCTTACAGGACATGCAAAGAGAATGACCTGGTACACATCTGCCATGGAACTGCAGGCAGGTAGAGGACTGAAAGAGTTCTGGCTATGATCCAGAATTCCTCTACTGGGTATTTACCCACAAGAGAAACGAGCCACAACACGAGAAGATATATGCACACCAATGTTCACAGCAGCACTATTTACAATAGCAAAAAGATGGAGGCAGCCAAAGTGCCCATCAACTGAAGAATGGATAAACAAACTGTGGTACATACACACAATGGAATATTATGCTACCTTGAAAAATAACAAGGAAGCGGCAAGCCACCGCATAACATGGATGGACCTTGAGGACATTATGTTGAGTGAAATTAAGTCAGTCACAAAAGGAGAAATACTACATAGGACCACTACTGTAAAAGACTAAGAAAAAAAAACCCATACTAAAGCAGGGGAGGATTCTTTGCTGGTAGCTGGAATGTGGGGGGTAGGGGAAGGGGAGGGAGGGGAAGGTGGAGCACAGGGCAGGGAATAGACACAGGATAGTTTGGGTGCTGGGGGAGGTAAATGGAATAACAAAGCGGTTGGGAGAACAATTAGGCAAGTTAGCATGGGCTAAGTGGAACAGAGATAAAGAATGATATATGCACAACCTTGGAATAACAGGACTCTGGGATACAGAGATTGAGACATGATTGGAATGGGGAAATAATGTCAAGATTCTTGGCTGTCTTTTGAATCTTGGTTTCCTTTGCATGCCATTATAAAATAGACACTGGAGGGGGAGAGAAAGAAATAGCCAGAAATATCACCATAGAAAGCTTGTAAGTTTGTCTTCTGCCTGTAAGTGATCAGAATACCTAAAATGGGGCTACAATGTGCCCAGTGAAGGAGGCTTCCTGCGGAGCCTCTGCATTACATAAGACTACAGGTGGAATCCTGAACCACATCCAGAATCTTCAGAGGTGGGAAATTTCCACTTGAAAGGATGGGCAGTCCAGCCTGGAGCAGCTAGAAGAACAGAGGATACTTCTTGAAAGAAAGACCGACAGGAAAAATGCAAAACAATATAGGCAGACTGACTGTTACTACAAGAACAAGCAAGTTGCTCGTCCAGGAGACATCAAAGCAAGTGGTCAGACCCCTTCAGAGCAAATCCCCTTCCAAAACTAGGACTCAATGGAAATACACGCTCTGACTGATGACCACGTTCATCACCGATAAGCGGAAGTGAGAGGAAAACAGCAATGAAGCTGCGAGCTAAGTCCTACAATGTTCAATAGACTCCTGTGAACCCGGGTGAAGACCTGGTTGGCCAGCAAGGTGGCAAGACCTGGGAACTCTTGGGCCCAGAGTCAGTAGCATAGCTACAGAGGACTAGAGTGGAGAGTGAAGTGTCCAGCTGATAAGAAGAGAGGGCATATGCACAAAAACACCCACGCTTGCAGATAATACCCACTTGACCTGGCGTCAATGACTGGATGATCAGAGCTCAACTAGAAGAAGAAAGAAGAGGGAAAAAAGAGTAATCGGATACAATTTGATGAACTTGACCTATCCCTATGGATGCAGTACCTCAAAAGAGGGAACAAATCTTTACAGCCAGAATCATTCCCACCCCCTCCATACACAGAGTATACAGGGATAGGCAACTTGGACATTGGCTACCCAAAGTAGGGGGAGGGGAGGGCTACAAAGGTAAGAAGTGACTGGCTTACAAGCTTTCAAGAGGGAATCTAGATCCAGAGGATGTGGAGGAAGGTAGAATCTCCACTGAGTATTATCAAATCTGTCTAGGAGGGGCTGATGAAATGAAATGCGGATAGGTCTCTTATGATATTGTAGTGAATAATTGCTATCAGGATTGATTGTGAGGGTTGGAAATGTACAGGTAGATGTTTTGTAGCAAGGAGAGGAGCAATTAACTTTGCAGTCTAGGAGCAGAGGTCCCTGGGACCATCAAGGGAGAAAAGCAGAGAGCGGGACCCTACCCAGAGAAGCAGTGATGCCAGAAATGGAGGCAGAGAAGATGACGTGGAGAGATGGAGCAGCTGGGGACTTTAGATCCAGAGAGGGAGAGGGGCTGTGTGCTGACAACCAGGGGGCAGGCTTGCAGGGTATACCCTTTGGCTGGTTGATGATGCATGGAGGGGATTGTAACCATGGCAATGAAATTATCTACGATAGGATGATTGTAAAACTAATGTTCCCCCATGTAAACTATCACATAATTCATGATAAAACATTAAAAAAAAAAAAAAAAGAGTTCTGTCTTCACAGGAGGGAACGGAATGGCCTAACACTGCTGTCATTAAGTGCCGTTGAGTTGGTTCCAACTCATAGCGACCCTATATGGGGTTTCCAAGGAGCAACTGGTAGGCTTGAGCTTCCGACCTCACACTTCAAATGGACCTTGTGGTCCAGCACATTCTCCTGCAGCACCACACCAGGAGTGCCTAGCATTAGGGGCCTGGAAACTGCCCCTGGAATGTCATTTTCCACCCTAAGGTTAACTCTGCTTTCTGGAGCCCTCCTCAGTTCCTACCCATGGGAAGAGTTTGGGAGATAGAGTCAAAAGCCCTAGGTTCCAGGACCAGGTCTGCCACTGGAGCCATGTGACTTTGAGCCCCTCACTCTCTGTGTGGGGTGTTAGTAGGGATCCTCATCACCTGATCACACTCTCCTTGGCCTGGGACCATTTCTCAGCCCTCTCAGAGCTCAGTTCTGGCCTCTCTTGGGGAGACCATACCTCATATGAGTTGGAACTTTGGAGATTTGGGCTCAAAACGCAGGGTTCCCTGTTCTTCGGATGATACAAGATGTCCTTTCTTGGCAGAGGTCTCTCGGGTCTCTGCCTCTCTTCACCCCCAGTCAGTTCTGTGCTCATGGAAGAATCATTCAAAGGTACCTCCGATAGCATTGCTCTCCTGATCAAACAGCACTAATGGCGCTGGACTAACAGGTCAGAAAGATAAGTAAAGGGTATGAGTCAGAGCTGATACCTTGAACCACTTAGACTATTCAGCTGGGCTGATGAAGCTGAAGAAAGATGATCTAACAACTGCTGAAGAGAACAGAATGAACTATGGTGGGAGATGGAGAGCCCACCAGCACAGTGCCCACTGGGAATATGCCAGTGAAAGGTCCGAGAGGAAGGGCAAGTGAAGATGCTTTTGAAGGCTCCGATGGGGGCAGGAGAAGACAAGGATAGATAAAGAATGGAGAAGGTCTAACCCAAAATGAGTGGGTTACTCTTGAGGCTGCTGGTCCTGGGCCAGATGAGACTCAGAGAGGAAGGGGGCTTGGAGGCCAGGGTCCCCTTCACGGCTTCAGTAGGAAAAAACATCAAGTATGATATTGGGTGTTGGAGAGATACAGACCGAATGATGGAGTAAAGGAAGCAAGGAAAGGAAGGGAAAGAGATAAACGAGGAAGACTTCCTTTCCATTTCCTGCTTCATTCCACCGAGAGTCTACAGGAGAACTCAGGAAGGATTTCTGCAGGTTGAACTCCAATGACTTACCTAATGTATAAAGGTAGCTCCAGGGAAGAGCCCAAGCCTCTGCTTGCTGAAGATAATGCCATGCAGACCACCCCAAAGGTCCCCTAGGCCTCAGGTCAGTGAGGTGGGGGTTCTTACCCAGCTCTGGCTTGAGACTCTACCTCCCACTCCTTCCCACCCAGCCCTGCTGGCAGACCAGTGGGGCTGGGCCACGCTCCCTGTTCCCCGCGTAGTACCTGGTCCTGCTGCCATCACCCAGCATATGAAGTCTGCAGTTGCACTGTGAGGGGCAAGAGCTCTGGGCCTGGGGGTGTCCCCCAAGGGCCAGGAGCCAGAGCATGCCCACAGCCACCCTCATGCCTCCTGGCTCCTCTCCAGTCCAAACAGTCTCTGACTGCTTGGCCCTTGTAAGCCCAGCTGCCCACTTGCTCCTCCCGAGGTCATCGGATAAGCACAGACAGACTGGGGATTAGTAGAGGAACCTCAGCCACAGCAGGCAACGGCTTAATGCTCCCCAGAATTACCCAGTCCTGATCACGGGGTGAGGGGCCCCTTCCATAGCAGAAGCTCCAGCTTAGAAAGCTCCCACTGTTGGGGAGGGGTTTGTAGGGAGCTTCCAGAGACAAGCAGCTACTGGACTGAGCTCCCACCTGAAAAGTCACAGACAGTTCAGACAGCACACACCCAGCCAGGTGCCCAGGCTCAGGGTGGGGTGTGTTGTGGAAATGGAGACAGAGCCCTCCTAGACATTAGGAAGTGTCTAAGCTCTGAGAACAGCCTGTTGTTGTTGTTTAGTGCTGTCGAGTTGGTGCCGACCCATAGCGACCCTGTATAGGGTTTCCAAGGAGCAGCTGGTGAGCTTGAACTGCCGACCTTGCAGTTCAAATGGCTTTGTAGTCTGGCGCATTAACCCATAGCGCCACACCAGGCCTCCTGCTATGTGGTTTCAAATCCCAGCTCTTGGGAATCCTTATCTGTGAATGGACAATAATGTTAATCAATCCAGGGTACTTATGAACATTAAGTAAATCAAGTTTCCCCAGATCTTGACAATCTGTGGAAAGAGAAGCTGCCTCATTAATAGTAGTGATTGTTGTTGTTACATGCCATACTGTTGAGTCAGTTCCAACTCATAACCACCCTATGCACAACAGAACAAAACATTGTCCCTTCCTGTGACATCCTCACGAGTATTATGTTTGTGTCCATTGTTACTGCCACTTTGTCAATCCATCTTGTTGGGGGGGTGGGGCTTCCTCTTTTTTATTTATTTTTCTGGCCCTCCACTTTACCAAACATGATGTCCTTCTCTAAGGACGGATCCTAGTTGATCACATGTCCAAAGTACAAAAGATGAAGTGTCACCATCCTAGATTCTAAAGAGCATTCTAGCTGTGCTTCTTAGTGTATCAAATGCCATGGTGGGTTCCAAAGTAGCATCTCACAGAGTTGTTAGAGAAGACACTCCCGTTTTTAGCTACTGTCTCCACCCTCAACCAATCCCACCATACCATCAGACAGTAACTCAAGCAACAGACACCACATTTCCCTAAGATTCCTTCCTCCAATTTGACACTGAGGTTTTGCTTTCTGGTCCAGCATGCCTTGCTCCCTCAGATCCTCCAGATAAGTCTTCAGTCCCTCATGCCCACAGGTTTGGCAGGCATAACTCAGGGAGGTAAGAGTCCCCTGGCCCCTCAGTGCACATACGAAATGCCCAGCTCTGTGCTAGACCTATTTTGCCCATGTTGGCTCTGAATAAATGTTGGTTCTCATGTGTTATGGATTGAATTGTGTCCCACCAAGGTATGTGTTGAAATCCTAACCCTTGCAGCTATGCATGTAACCTTGTTTGAAAATTGGAAGTTGTCATTTGTGATGACAATGATTCCATAGTAGTGTAGAGTGTGTGTTAAATTGAATGATTTCAGAATTATAAAAAGACCAGAATAGACACACACATACGCATAAAGACCAACAACATGTGAGGATAGTCTACCAGCCAAGGAACCAAGGAATGCCTGGTGCTACCAACAAGAGCGCTGGACTGCAAATTTGGCATGAACACAAGGTCAGCAGTTCAAACTCACCAGTCGTTCCTGGGAATCCCTATACAGGGTTGCTATGAGTTGAAACCGACTCGACAGCACTTAACAACAACAACTAACACAAAAAGAATAGATACAACTGAGACCCTGATTTGGACGTTAAGCCTCTAGAACAGTGAGAAACTAAATTTCTGTTCTTTAAAGCCACCTGGTGGTGGTTGTGTGCTGTGGCATTAATTTTGACTCATAGAGACCTTGTATAGGGTTTCCGAGGCTGTAAATCTTTACAGGAGCAGAAAGCCTCATCTTGCTCCCATGGAACACCTAGTAGACTCAAACTGATGACCTAGCAGTTAGCAGCCCAGCGCATAACCTGTTAGGGCTCTGCTTAAAACCATCTACTTGTGGCATTTCTTCTATCGCAATATTTCTGAACTATCCCTTCCTCTTTCCAATCCAGACAATATAACTTCCCCATTATTCCCACCTGTACCTCTTCCACCCCAAATCAAAAGACCATCCCTAACTGTTCCTATGCCTTTTCTTTTGCCCAAGACATTGCTGCTTCTGCAGGGGATGCCTGTTCTCTCTGTCATTCTGGCTTACTGGCCCTCTTACACTCCCTTTCATATGAGGCAGCCTTTGGGGATCTTCAGGTATGGGGAAAAACTCACATCTGTATTAACCAGTAATGCAATATGGAGGTTTGGAGAGGCTCTGGGGCTCCTGCTCCTCAGGGAACGCTTCCTAGAGGAGGTGGAGCACAGTTAACCCTGTTGTTGTTGTCAGGTGCCATCGAGTCGGTACCGACTCATAGCGACCCTATGCACAGCAGAACAAAACAATGACTGACCCTGGGCCAATATCACAATTGTTACTATGCTTGAGCCCATTGATGCTGCCACTTTGCCAATCCATCTCGCTGGGGGTCTTCCTCTATTTCTCTGACCCTCCACCTTACCAAACATGATATCCTTCTCCAGAGACTGGTCCCTCCTGACAATATGTCCGAAGTATGAGAGACAGAATTTGGCCATCCTGGCCTCCAAGGAGCACTCTGGGTGCACTTTTTCCAACACAGATCTGTTGGTTCATTTGGAAGCCCATGGCACTTTCAATATTCTCCTCCAACACCATAACTCAAAACATGAATTCTTCTATGGTCTTCCTTATTCACTGTCCAGTTTTTGCATGCACATGAGGTTATTGAAAATACCATGGCATGGGTCAGACACACCTTAGTCCTCAAGCTGACGTCTTTGCTCTTCAACACTTTAAAAAGGTCTTGGGCAGCAGATTTGCCTAACGCAATATGTCATTTGATTTCTTGACTGCTGCTTCCATGCGTGTTGATAGTTGATCCAAGAAGAATGAAGCCCTTGACAACGTCAATGTTTTCTCCATTGATAAGAATCTTGTTTATTGGTCCAGTGGTGAGGATATTTGTTTTCTTTACATTGAGATGCAATCCATAGTGAAGGCTGTGCTCTTTGATCTTCATCAGTAAATATTTTAAGACCTGTTCACTTTCAGCAAGCAAGGTTGTACCATCTGCATTTCACAGGTTGTTAATGAGTCTTCCTCCAATCCTGATGCCCCGTTTTTCTTCATAGAACCCAGCTTCTTGGATTGTTTGTTCAGCATACAAGTCGAATAAGTATGGTGAAAGAATACAACCTCGTTGCACACCTTTCTTAATTTTAAACCATTCAGTGTTCCCACTGAATGGTTTAACAACTGTTAAACTGTTTGAACAACTGCCTCCTGGTCCATGTAGATTCCTCATGAGCACAATTAAATGTTCCATAATACTCATACTTCACAAGTTGTCCATAGTTTGTCACGATCCACACAATCGAAAGCTTTTGCATAGACAATAAAGCACAGGTAAACATCTTTCTGGTATTCTCTGCTTACAGCCAAGATCCATCAGATATCAGCAATGATATCCCTCATTCCACGGCCTCTTCTGAATCCAGCTTGAACCTCTAGAAGTTCTTCGTCAATGTATGCTTGCAGCAATTTCTATATTACCTTTAGTAAAACTTTACTCGCATGGGATTTCAGAGATGTTGTTCAATTAGCAGTGGTTATACTTGGATATGGGTGGACATCCTGCAAGAAGAAAGTCATGGATAATGGACAAACCTTCATAAAATATAATAAATTGCTTGGCCGAAGGGAGTCATAAAATGTCAATGAAATGTGCCAGGACCCAGGGGCAGGACATGAGGTGTGAACATATTTGTGTGACTTCCGGCAGGACATGAGGTATGAATATCACTGTGTGACTTCAGGCCGATTCTTAACTACTTTGAGCCTCCATTTCCTAATCTAAAATGGAAAGAATGACGGTATTTAATTCAAGGAGTTGTAGGAATCATCATGTGGTCATATGCCTGGCTGGTAGTGAGCACTCAGTAAGCATCAGCTGCTCCGAGTCCAACTCTAAGGAACTTTACAACAACATGTTGCTACTAGCTCTCTGGGGCTTGGTTTCCTTACGTGAAAATGAGTTAAATTGTTTGAGATGAGTTAAGTGGTTCCTGGTGTAGACTTCCATCATGAACCAGTACATGACTACATGACTTACAGCAGGACCTGACTCTAGAAACCCAGTGCCTTGTGTGTGTGTTGGGGGGGTGGGGGAAGGGAGATGCTGATGTCGCTGAAGCATTTTGTGGAAGAGAGGAGTGAAACACTGAACCTATAACTATCTGTAACTATGATGTTGTTAAGTGCCGTCGAGTCGATTCCAACCCATAGCAACCCTGTATAGGATTTCCACGGAGCAGCTGGTGAGCTTGAACCGCTGACCTTGCAGTTCAAATGGCTTTGCAGTCTGGCGCGTTAACCCACAGCGCCACACCAGGACTCCATAACTATGATGTTGTTGTTGTTAAGTACTGTGGAGTCGGTTCCGACTCATAGTGACCCTACACAGGGTTTCCAAGGCTGCAAATCTTTATGGGAGCAGAACGCCTCATCTTTCTCCTGCAGAACCGACTGCAGACCTTGAGGTTAGCAGCTCGATTCGTAACCACTACGCTACCAGAGGTCCTTATAACTATAATAGAATCTTTCTAATCAAGCCCTTATAGCAAACCAAAAACCACACCCACTGTCATTCAGTCGAGTTGGACTCATGGAGACCTTATGTAGGGTTTTCAAGACCATAAATCTTTGCAGCAGCAGACAGCTTCAGTCTCATCTTTCTCTTGAAGAACGGCTGGTAGGTTTGACTCATCGACCTGTGGCTACTCCAACACCTAGTCCAAAGCCCTACTAGGGCTCTGTAAGATTTAAACAAGCCATGAAAAAAAAAAGCAAAACAAAAACTTTTATTTTGCAAAGGAAGGAACTGAGTCGAGTCCAAAGGCCCCACCCAGGTACCTAGCTAATGGCTGACTCTGACCCAGAACCTGGGTCTCTAGATGCAGTCATGGCTCATCCCACAACGCCAGATGACTCTGCAGCCTTCACGTTTCCTGAATGCTGTGATCACTTCACATGTGATCACAGCACATACCATACACACCCACACACCACACACATATGCATGCATGTACTACCCACACATACACATGCATGCTTACCCACACGTACACTCAGGCACACACATGCTGGCACTCAGTTTGTCAACACCTACAAGGACCTGGCCCCTGACCAACTCAGGAGCAGCTGCAGCTGCAGCTCAAACCCTCTCACTCAGCCCTTAGTGGTTTTGTAACTCTTTTCCAATTCAGCTACTTGGGTTCCTGCTCCTTCATCCAGCCTCGTGGGCCTGGGCTCCATCAAGCTTCACAAAGGCTGTACTGTTCTGCTGAATGAGTGTTTTTCTTGAGCCAAAACGTTGATTTAGAAATGGTGGCAGCAGGAGAAGCCCGAGGTTCAGTATGAAAACTGTGCTGGAGTCAGAGTGGCCCTTTAAAAGGGAATCCTCACTGGAGGAGCCTGACAAGATGCAGCCAGCAGCGAGAGAGCCAATTAGGGCAGAGCCGGAGATGCCGCCAGCTGGTTCCAGGGAACTCAGAGTGCTGACTGTGGGCATTGTGCTGCTGGGGGAAGGTGATCCCGGCCAGACAGTGAGGGACAAGCACCCAGTGGTTCCCAGAACCCACACCGAAGCTATCATTAGTAAGGATACCCCCAAACCAGTCAGCGTGGTGTGTCTCTTGACCATCTGCTGCTAATGTAGACCCATGAGCAGTAAGACTGTTATCCCTAAGGGGTGCATCCTGGTGGGGTAGAGTAGCTCAGAGAGAGGAGCCTTGTGGGGGTCAGGGAGGGAGAGGCTGCAAAAAAGGACATCTGTCAGGATATGACCAAGAATCCAGGCTTCAGACATTTGAGTGTCCCTCCAACTGGCAGAAATTTTAATCCAATCTCAGGAGACCCTGCTGAGAATGCGGTGAAGACCTTCACTGTCGGTGTGTGATGTGACCAAATCCCCTTTAGGTCCCTGACCCCAGTGTCCTGATACTCAATGGGTGGTTGTGAGGACCTAATATTGTCATAGACATAAAGTGTTTGCGTGTGTAGAAATCTAGGGATTTTAAATGATCTACTCTGCCCTCTCTGACCCCACATCGCCCTCTTCATTCCCTATTTCCTAAGCATGTCCACTCAGGGGCTTCCTGGGCCAGGATATGCCTGCCTCCACCTAGAAGCCATACTTAAGAGTTTCTCTGAAGCTAGAGTCACAAAATTATAGACCCTGTGGCTAGACAAGCCAAAGACTGGCTTGATTGGAAGCCAGCCCTCATTCACAGCAGCTGCAAACAACTCATCAGCTCACTCCCTCAGCTGATGAAAGAGAGTGTGGTAGCCACTGAGCTAGTTCTTGTGACCCCTCTTCCAACAACCTTGCAATCGAGGCTCTCTCCAGTACCTAAACATGACATTTGACCACTGCATGTGTTTGCACAAGCTACTTCCCTTTTCTAGAACATTCCTCCACACCCAGTCCTCCTGATACATATGAACAGTCTGAAGCTGAAGTTCAGAAGAGAGTTTGAGGGACAGCAAGTGAGTGGTCATGAAAAATTCAAGGTCAGCTCCGTCTGCACTTGAAAATACCCTCTTGGGAAGTGCGCCTCCCAGTTCAATCCCTGCGTCCTCCAGGGCCTCCCTGATTCTGTTCCATGCTCTCATGGGAAAAGCAGACCCTTTGGACTTTGAGAGACCCAAGGTTAGCCAGCTCCAACACTTACTAGCTGTTTACACAGGTTCAGTTAACAAGCCTCTCTGAGCCTCACTTTCTAATTGTAAATGGGGAGGACATTATCCTGAGGAAGACTGGGTAAGATGATCCATGTAAAGTGCTCAGTTGGTGTCAGACCTGTCATTGTCACCGCAGAGGTCACACTTAACTGATTGTATACTTGATCATCTCCCATTAGACTGTGAGTGCAAAGGTCAGGGCCTACACCCATGATGTCTATATCTGAGGGCCAGCCCACCTGGGCAGATGTGGAAGAACTGTGCCCAGAGAGTTGCTGGCCATGGAGGGAAGGTGGCTGAGGTCCCATCCATCCCAAGGACATTGGGTGTGAACACAGTGATATCAGCCCCTGCTCTTCCTTTCAGCATTCTCTGGGCTCAGCCTCAATGAACTGATCACCCTCTCTTTCTGCACAAACCCAGTGCTGCGGACTCCTGGCCACCTATTGGTGCTGAACTTGGCCCTGGCAGACAGTGGGATCATCAGCCTGAATGCCTTGGTAGCAGCCATTTCCAGCCTCCGGTGGTCCTGCCATCTCTCTCTTATCCACACCCCCATGTTCCATGGGCTTGTGGGTCTGGCCTGGGGCTGACCTAGCACCTAGAGTTCTCCCCACTTGTGAAGACCTGGTCTGAAGGTAGTGGGCAGAGTGGACCTGAATTCTAGCTACCCCTGAAATTTAAACTCCCCCTAAAGAATGATGACTGATTTCTGGCATCCAGAAGCTGGCCAACGTTGGCCAACAAAGAGGGCACACTGTAGGGATGGAGAAAGAGGACCACCTTTTAACCACCATGCTAAGTCCCCATCCTACCTGGGTTTGGGCCTGCTTCTATCATGTTAAGCTAGAGCCTTCCTCAGTAAGTTGCATGTTAGCACTTAACTCACATGGGTAGTTGGAAGTGTGGATTTGTTATTTGCAATTAACTTAAAATGATGCTCAACCCATGTTGTTGTTGCTCTGTGTCATTGAGTCAATTGTGACTTAGAGTGAGCCTATGGGAAAGAATAGAACTGCCCCCATAGGATTTCCTAGGCTGTGACCTTTAAGGGAATATTTGGTCGGGTCTTTTTTCCTGCAGAATGACTGATGAATTTGAACCACCTACTCAAGGAGCTCTGGTAGCGTTGTGGTTACGAATCGGGCTGTGAACCTTAAGGTCAGCAGTTTGAAACTACCAGCTGTTCCATGGGAGAAAGATGAGGCTGTCTACTCCCATAAAGATTTACAGCCTCGGAAACCCTGTACAGGGTCACAGTGAGTCAGAACCGACTCCACGGCACATAACAATCACCACCTTGGGGTTAGCAACTGAGTCCTTAACCATTGTGCCATCAGGGATCCTTGCTCAGCACATCTGTTGTTGTTGTTATTAAGTGCTGTTGAGTTGATTCCAACCCATAGCGACATGTATAGGGTTTCCTAGGAGTGGCTGGTGAGCTTGAACCGCTGACCTTGCAGTTCAAACTGACTTTGCAGTCCAGCGCAATAACTCATAGTGCCACACCAGGACTCCTAGTGAAGGCAACCAAAATTTTTCCAAGTATCAAGGCCATCTTATGTACAAGCCAGGGTCTCTAAAAACAGCTATAAAAGGTACTCACCGGTTTTCTTAAGCAGACAGTCCATTTTTTATTTGGGGACATTAAACTTAGACTCTCAAGCCTATCTTGGAGGCAATCTGTAGGGTGTAAATGAGGGAGGGTTCTTCCTCCACTGTGTCCTGGTCTGCGGTCCCCACCCCATTCCCCATTGACCAGGAAGGACAATTCAACTTCCACCTTTGCTTGGCCCATGAGCCTGAGAGTTGGGATGCCTGATTTTAACTTCATCTGATGTTAATTCTGAGTCTCAGTTTCCCCATCTATGAAACACAGGCATAAACTCTCATACTAAGGGGCTTCACCTCCTGTGTGTGACGGTAACATCTAATCACACAGGGAGGCCCTTGGGTGAAAAAGGCCTGGATGGAAGGGTTTGCCTCCAGCCCCACCACTTCAACCCAGAGGTGTACCTGCTGACACTGGGAAGTGGGAGGAAGTAAGAAGGAAGGAATGAGTCACTAGTGCCCAGCATCCCTGCAGGCACTGGCCCCATGCCACGCATGGTTTCCAAGGCTTCAGGATGACCCTGGCCAGCATCTGCAGCTGTGCAGCCTTGCCTGGGAGCTCCCATTACTTCTGCACCAGTACATTGCTGGATTTCCAGGACAGGTATCTATGGCAGCCTGGGAAGGAGAAGAAGCAGGGAAGGGTGGTCAGGATAAAGTCCAGCTAAGCGTTTTCTGGCACAAGGGAGTGTGGGCGTGTGTGAGGATGGGGGTGGTGGTGTTAAGTGCAGCCGAGTCAGTTCTGACTGATAGCGACCCTGCACAGGGTTTCCAAGGAGCAGCTGGTAAATTTAAATGGCCACCTTGTGGTTCAAATCGACCTTGTGGTCCAGCGCTTACCCTACAGTGCTGAGGGTACACAAGTCTAATGGTCAAATGGTCATTTCAGGAAAGGGGAGAGTGGGAGAGTGTAGCCACAAGTAGTGACCCATGCTGCGGCTGTAGCCTGGACCCCTCAGGGATCATGTCTGACCTTTGTCTCCTTTTCTGTGAGGTGTTTTTCTTAAGCAACCTCACAGTTTAATTTTAAAAATCAAATGAGCTCATGGGTATAGAAAACGCCTTCACAGACTTGCAGTGTTGGTGGGCAGGGGAGTGTGTGTGTGTGTGTGTGTGTGTGTGTGTGTGTGTATGTAGAGACTACTGCAGCTCTTGATTTCCAGTGTTGGACAGAGAGTTGCAGCTCAGATACTGATACTGGCTTGTGTCACTTACAACAATCACAGAGCCCCATGACCCCTTTGCTGTCTTCAGCAGTCAGCTGTTCGGGCTATGACATTACCAATTCTTGATTGAGTAGATTTGAAGAATGTTAAGGTCCTTGTGTTGGAGGGACCACCCCCGCCACGTAGAGTTCAGCTTCTCTGAATTCCCTGGACCAAACGCTGGGGAGATAGCCTTAAGTGTATGGTGGTCCCTGATGCCATAGAGTGGACATTCTAGGGGAGACCAGGATTCAGGGAGCCCCTATAGGGTCTGCAATGGGCCTCAGCCTCCCTCTACTTTCACTGGAGGCACTCGCTTGTGGTACATGGGATGCTTCCTCATGAGGCATCTGTGCTTGGTGACAGGTTTCCATGGTGGAGTCCCTCTGAAACCTCTGACCTGGCCAGTGGCCCTCCAGAGCTCTTTTTCAGGTTTTCCTCAGGGTGTCCTGTCCCCCTTGAAGCCCTTCCTACCACCCCTCCTTGGAGCAGAGCGTCCCTTCATGAACAGAACATCCACTGAGTGCTCCTGATTCACACTCTGATGCAGGCTTGCATCCATCCTTGGTGGCCACTATCTGGTCCCTTGGGCTCTGCCGTAGTCCCTTCAACTGTTTCTTCATGGACACAATACTAATCTCTTTGTCATCCTCAGGTCCCTTTGAAATTCCTGTGTTTAGAACACTCCTTGAATACTCCAGCCTCCTGGTCCACTAGCGTCTCCTCATTGGCTGAACTGTTTCCCAGGCTACAATTTTCCATTCTCCATGCTGGCAGAACACCCAGCTCCAAAAGTTATAAGCAGGCCGGCTCCCCACTGTAGTTGCCAGCTTCGGAGGGGGTTCTTCCAGGATCCAGGAGCTGCCACACTGAGCACCCATCTGAGGGTAGCAGTTCCCCAGAGCTGTATGTCACAGAGGAGGTGGGACGACGTAAGAGATGACCTTGATTCCTTGCCCACTCTACCTGCAGAAACGTCACCAGCTTTGTCTTCACCGTGACCTTTTTTAACCCTCTTCTGCCCCTGTTTATCACATCCACTTCCTAGCGGCTCATGGAGCAGGTAAGGGCCCAACTCCCAAAGCCAAGGGGACCGGGGGTTGTGACAGGAGCCATTAGGGGTCTCTATGATCTCCAGGACGCAGGGGGGAAATGCAGCTTTGGAGTGTTAGGGCTTCCAGGCACCATGAAGGCATTTAGTCCCAGCCCATAGGTGGGGACCACCAAGGCCCAGGGAAAAAGATCCAGGTCACCCAGGCTAAGGTCACCCAGACCCCAACACTCTGAGCCTACAGAACCTCAACTATGCCCCTACATGCCATTCTTTCTGAGCTCTGAAGCTTGGTGCAAAATGATATGCTTTTCAAAGGCTGCTATTAAATTTTTTCTTGTTGTTGTTCAGAGACATTGTGTTGTTCATAGCAACCCTGTAAAAGGTTTCCAAGGAACAGCTGGTGGTTTTGAACCACTGACCTTGTGGTTAGCAGTCCAGTGCTTGTCCTACAGCCGCACCAGTACTTCACCTTAAATTGCTTTAGTATTGTTGTTAAGTGCCGACGACTTGGTTCCAATGCATATCCACCCTGTATAGGGTTTCTGAGGAGCGGCTGGTGGGTTTGAACCGCCAATTAGATTAGTTCAAACGAATCTCATGGTGTTTAATTTAATCATATCACAGTTTGCTACCCACCACATAAAATCACACCTGTGAGCGTATTTGTACAAAAATGAACAATATTTCAAAAATAAGCCCTTTTGGCCATTGCTGGATTTGTGCATGAATACTCACTTGCTATGATTTATTCTTGGAGCGTGGTGGCTCCATATGGTAAGCACTAGACTGCAAACCACAGGGTCCACAGTTTGAGGCCACCAGTCACACCACAAGGAATAGATGAGTTCTTCTGCTCATGTGAAGATTTACAGCCTCGGAAACCCTCTGGAGGACCTCTATGAAGCGGAACCGACTCAACAGCACTTACCAACAAACCTGGATAGCCCCTAGCATTGGGTCAGTACTAGCCCCAGTGACTCAAAAAGCAGATATCCTATAAGTCAAAACGTGTTGGTCTTAGGGTTCTAGTCCTACATGCACAGGGTTTCCAAATAAAACATGTTAACACATGTCTCTGCAATCAGTGGACAGCTGCAAACAAGTTTTCTCAGTAAGACACTTGTCTTTGTCTCACTAGGCTGCCTTTAAAAAGAGGTCCAGTGAAAACAGTGGCTTCTGAGGGGATCTGCTGGGCTAGTTAAATTCAAGGCAGAGAGATCAACTCAAGTTACGACACCTATTTGGTCGGGATTCCTAAAGGGTGGACTTGTGGCGAACAGTCCAGGCTTTATTCTACAGTGCCACCTGGGTTCCTTTCCAAAGGGGTAATCTTGATGGGTTTTTCCTGAAGGACACAGGGTGATCAAGGAGGTTTATTAGGAACAAGTTTTAAGAAAATTGAAAACTGCATTAGTGAGAAAAAGGTCAGGAGAATTGCACCAAGGAATTTTTGTTTTCGATCACAACAATGCACCTGTTCATTCTTCAAGGGCCCCAAGGGCTATCCTATGAGAATCTCATTGGGAAACCTTACCACATCCACTCTACAGCCCTGATATGGTCCTTGCAGACTTCGTTTTGTTCCTGAACCTCAAAGAACATTTAAAAGAAACATGTAAAGGCCCCTTGAGGATGCCCAAACTGCTGTTTTGATATGATGTAAATTGAAGAGAATTCTTTTGAGAGGGAAGGACACACCACTTTTCAAAGTGTATAGATCTGAATGGAGGATTTATCAAGAAACAAGAGCTTCACATTTTGATGTTTTTGTTTAATAATGGTTTCTATGATTTTGTGGCATCCTGGTGTGGCGCTGCAGGTTAATGCACTGGACTGCAAAGTTGGTTTGAACCGCAAGATCAGCAGGTCAAGCTCACCGGTCATTCCTCAGAAACCCTATACAGGGTCGCTAAGGGTCAGAACCAACGCGACAGCACATAACAGCAAAAATCATTGTTTTAATACTCGTACTTTTTGACTTAACCTCAGATTTTTTTATGACCAGTGTAACATTTAATCTCTGAGGAAGGATTGTCACAAAATAAAAGACTGCAATGGAGAGTGGTTAGTTAAAGAACTCACCGGAAGCCATAATAACCAAGCTAGTTAAGTGGCAGAGTTGAATAAATACTCAAGTCTAGGTCTCCAAAATCCAGCAGTTAACCTGAATTAGTAAAGGAAGCTTTGTTACCTAAGATGCTTACTCTGCCACTGATTTTCCATTCGTTTGTTTTTCTGTCAATTAAAGAAGGACTAGTACAAATGGGTTTTGGCTGAAGATCCATGTCCCCCAAGGTCACAGAAGGAGAATGGAGACAGTATTGGGACTAAGCTTCCTTTCTTTCAGCTCCTAGTACCATGTTTTCTTGCTCACCATGGCCTCCTACAAGTTCTCAACTGCCTATCCATACCCCTGTAGGGACACTCAAAGTCCCCACAGTTATGGGGACATTTTAAAGAGCCAGGGTGAAAAGGCTACCATCATAATTTTCTCATTTTTCTAGTTGGACTTTGGTGGCATCAGCCAAGGTCACCATGTGCAGGCCAAGGACTCAGCTGTGAGCGAAGTGGTCCGTCAAGGTGGGGTGGCCTCTTGGCTAAGGGATCAATTTCTCCTTTGGCCTCAACATCTCCCCCAGAGAACTTTCAGCACTAAAGCACCCTTTTTTGTTGTTTTATCCATTTTGGATGTGGGACAATTCAATAGAGAAAACGTCTCCCTGTCAGCATATTTTTAAATCCCAAAGTAAGATAGGTAATTATTCCATGAAGAAAATGTATCTTCTTCCAACTTACATTGCCTTCTTTCTTGGAGCAAGGAATGTGAATGAAGAAAGACAAGTTTTTGTTGAGTTGACCCCAATTCATGGCACCCCATGTGCATCAGACAGAACTGCTCCCAAGGGTTTTCAACACTGATTTCCTGGAAATAGATCACCAGCCCTTTTTTCCAACGCAATTCTGGGTAGACTTGAACCTCCAGCATTTTGGTTAGCATGTTAGTTGTTTGCACTACCCAAGGACTCCAATGAGAAAATAGACACTGATTTTTACCATCAACATATTGTAGTATCTGAGAGTATGTGGGAAGTAGGAAGCTAGTGAGTCCTTACTGGTTAGATCCCAGACCATGCGCCCCCTGGTGGCCCTTCATGTGGAACTGCGCCGTCGCTCTGATCCGGCCCAGCTCTGCTTCCCAACCAGGAAGCATCTGACACTGGAAAATGGAGGCTCTGAGCCAGGACAGTGTGATCTCACCAGCTGGACCTGGGATGGAGGTCTAAAGTCTGAAGTCAGCTCAGCCCGGGGACCTCGTCCACACAGCCACACGGTCACGGAACCTAAGATATCTGACACAGGCTCATTGCCTGCTTCAGTCCCAGTCTTTAGGTAAATAATGTGTACCCAGGCCACTTTACTGATAACGCATGTTTTATCAGATTGTTTCGGCACTTAACAACAACAACAAAAGTTAAATAAGCACAAGTGGCTTGGAGTCCCCATTCTTAAAGAGCAGAGAGGTCTTAGAATCCTAGTCCCACCCAGGACAAGGTTTATCTGGCCCCTAGTTGCCCTGTGCTCAGCGCCTCCCTGCTGCCCAGCACTACTCCTGGGCTGACCTGGTTTCCCTGGCTGCTGGAGCAGGACAAGACTTCCCAGGACCCTTTCTCCCCAGGTGGACACCACTCTGCCAGTCAGGACATTGCTGCTGAGCTGAGGCCCTTACGCCCTCCTGTACCTGTATGGTGCCTCCATGGATGTGATCTCTTATCTCTACCCGTTGGCAGATGGTATGGAAATGCCCAATACCCAACACTAGACCCTCCCACACCTGCATCTCTCTGTGTGTGGATCTGACTCTCTTACTGACTTCTATCTTCCAGATCAATCTCTCTTCTTCTAAATAGTCACAGCACAGAGAATTTACCTCTCCCTACCCTGAGCTACCCCAGCCGGCTGGCTAACATTGCCTATAACATTATGGAGAGACGGACAGACAGCAAACAAAGGCCCTGCGAACAAGGGCTAAGATTAGCGTCTGTAGTCAGCAAGGATGTGGGTCCCTGGAAGAGCAACTTCCTACAAGGTCTCAGGAACCGAGCTTTGCTTGCCCACTGGTAGGGACAGCTCAGAGGCTACAGAATCAAGCACAGGACAGTTGACTAGCTATTGTGGGGTGCAGAGCTGGGGCTCCCCAGTGAGACTAGGGAGAGAAGCAGAAGCTTTGAAGACTTTTTTGGATTTTCTGCCCCAGCAGGTACCTGCCCTTGTTGCCAAAACAGTACCCATGGTCAATGCCTGCCTGGGGAACGAGGCAGTCTGCAGAGGGATCTGGCAGTATTTCCTCGGCAGGAGTGACAGTCCTGCTAGTTCTCAGGAGAGAGCCCAATGAGCTCTCCGTGAAGCTGCCCACCCTGCCCGTTCCTGCCAGGAAGCCACACCCAAGACTCCTGCCCCAGCCAATTACCCACAATCCCTATTGTCCCATGGTGCCTGGGCCAGGTGGGTCCAAGTGTCTGAGTGTTTGTCTTTGCACTCCCCATAGAAATTCCGGGCCTTGAGATAACCATTCTGTCCTGCTGAATTTCCTGACCCCTTTGTAAGGTTGTTGATATATATTCCGCAAGACTGTTAGAGGACTGAACAAGGTAACATGAAATCTCCATGCACAGAGAAAATGCTCCTGAAAACAACTGTTGTTATAAGCAGAGACCCTGGATGGTGCAGACAGTTCATGTGCTCAGCTGATAACCAAAAGGTTGGAGGTTCAAATCCACCCAGAGGCACTTAGGAAGAAAGTCCTGGTGATCTGCTTCTGAGAAACCAGCCATTTAAAACCCTGTGGAGCACAGTTCTACTCTAGCATACATGGGGCCACCATGAGTCAGATTCAACTCACGTTATCAGAAGCCTTGTCAATTGTTGCTGCTGTTAGCAGTTGTCAACTCAGCCCCTGACTCATGGCCACCCCATGTGTGTCAGAGTAGAATGGCTCCACTGGATATTCTAGGTTTGAACCACAGGTTGACGGTGCAAACACACCAGCGCCTCCTTGGAAACGCTATACAGGGTCGCTGTGAGTCGGAACCAACTTGACAGCACTTAACAACAACTCTTTACAGAAATACGTCTACTGGCCTTTCTTCATTGGAGCCGCTGCGTGAAGTTTAAACTGCCAACCTTTCTGTTAACAGCTGATTACAACCCACTTGCTCCACCCAGGTTTCTAAATCTTGGCTTCACCCTGGAGGAATTCAGTCTTCCGTAATTTGTAAAATGTGGTGACGGTAATTAATGGTCACTACGTAGACAGTGCTGGACAACACCTGGCAAATGCTGTGTGCCCTACCAGCCTCAGACAGTCAAATCCAGCCCAAGGGGATGGAGGATGCCGCCGGCACATGACTTGAATGTGTGTTTTCATTATTTGTCAACATATAAAATCCGTTTGTAGAGCCCAGCCGAGGCTCCCTACCTACTGCTCACATCCCAAAGTGTATCTAGATCTTCAATGACTGGGTTTAGCATGCAAAGTCCTAGGTGGGTCTTGGGCCAAGTGGGCTCAGGCTCTGACAGAGGAGGTACAAGTATGCTGAGCCCCTCGTGGGCAGGTAGGCAGACCTATGGAGCTTAAGAAAGGGACACATCTCAGGGCAGGGCTGTGGACAGCATTGTGGACCAAGACCTGCCTACCTACTTGCAGATGCAGAAAACCAGGTCACACAGACATGCTACCAAGAGGTCCCTGCACAAAGCAAAGTCAGTGCAGCCATTTCACAGAGTTGGTGGGGTGGGGAGCAGAGTAACATTTTCCATGACATGTTTTTCTGGACTGTGATTTGTACCTGATGCTGGTGAGCCGAGATGATGCTCAGACCTGGTTCAGAGGGATTACCTGTACCTGGCAAGTGGTGGGTCGCAGCCCAAAGATCCTGACCCACCCTCAATAGTCCATGGGTTCTTAAATTTTCCATCTACCACTGGAGATGTTAACCGCCTCAGGTGAAGCCTGGCAGCACAGTGAGAAAAGACAGGTGGAGAAGAGAGGAAAGGAAGGTGAAGCCCACAGAGCAAACACGGTCAATGTCTGCTTTTCCCAAGAGCCAGTTCATGGGTCCCCATGAGAAAGAGCTAAACAGATCAGTATCACCACCTGTGCTCAGAGAAAAGGCGCATGGAGGCAGGGCAGCCAAGCGAGGCCCAGCTCACCTCAGTTGGGATTTTGCATGCCCCAGGCTTCCAGGATGTGAGGAAGATGGGTCAGGGCAACTCTTGTCTGGCTGCGTTAGTACGTGATGGGGTAGCATGAAGCAGTGGTGCTGGGAACGGCCAAAGCCATGGTCTGCCACTTTATCTTCAGAAGCCCCCCCTTCTACCCACACCCCTGGAAACGGGCTCAGGGAGCATGTCCATCTTCAGGCATTCCTGTCCAGGTCCCCTAGCACTTTCCAGATGCTGAATCCTCTGAGGACACTTGTGGGAGGAAGGAAGAAGTGAAGGTCTACATCTTCCAACCTTCTCACCACCTCCCAGTACTAGTCGGGTCTGTCAGGGGTCACCACCCACCTGGTCTTTCGCACAGCCTCTAACCTTAGCAGGCAGCAGAGTGTGTCCATCCCTGGCACATGACCAGGATTGGAGGGAGATGTCCAGGGCCCCAATGGCAGAGTCTCTTCAGACTCACTCTGCCAAGCTAAGTCTCCAGGGCTCAAATGCTCTGCTAGAGACAGGCATTGTTCTCTGGGATGGGGAGTCCTGGTGTTCTAGACCAATGGTTCTCCAAGTGTGTTTCCTGCATCAAAGCACAAAAGTCAAGTCACATAGGTCCTGGTGTGATGCTGTGGGTTAATGCTCTGGACTGCTAAGTAGTTTGAACTGCAATGTTGGCAGTTCAAGCTCACCAGTCTCTCCTCAGAAACCCTATACAGGGTTGCTAAGGGTCAGAACCGGCTTGACCGGCACTTAGCAACAATAGGACCTTGATAGAAATGCTAATTTTCTAGCCCCACCCCAGACGTATGGAATCCGGAAACTCCTGGAGAGGGGGTCCTCATCCCCAGGGCATTCTAGAAGCTGGTCAAGTTTGAGGAGCACATACCAGACATTTTATATGAAAATCCACATCTACTCCTCAGTATCCCTGGGAGACTTTAATTCTAATTCCTGGGTTACAGAGTGTGAACCTCAGCTCAAGGACAGGAAGGCTTTGGCCCAGGGCTCAGGGCTGGAAAAAGGCAGAGCCAAAGCCTGTGCCAGAGGATCCTGGAGGGAGCCAGAGAGGGGGATCCACAGTGTGGGGTGCCACAATTATGCCAAGTGAGGACCAGGGTGCTCAGAATCCTCAAGATCAAACACGAAGCAGTGTCTCTTTAAGAAATTACTTCTGTATGTCTAAGGAAGGAGATTTGCTAACTATTATATACAGTTGATTCTTGTTATTTGTGTAGTCGCTTCCTCCTATGAAGCCCCTGACTTGTACAAACCGTTGAGGCACTCAGCTGCTAACCCAAAAGATGGTGGGTCACGTCTACCCAGGGACACCTCGAAAGAAAGGTCTGGTAATGTTTCTGAAGATTCAGCCACTGAAAACTCTGTGGAGTATAGTTCTCCTCTGACACACGTTACCATGAGCTGAAGTCATCTGCGTTTTTGAGGGGATGTGCTTTTTATATGTTCATGAAGTTGTCACAGACACCAAATTAGCAAATACCGAACCATCGTTCCTATGGGAAATACAGGGTTAGGTTTATTTGAGCCTATGGTCACGATATTTTTATTAACCAATCAATACATAGCTTTGTTTTACATGTGTTTCCGGTTAAGGGCATCTTACTATATTGTTGTCGATTCATGAATGCAAAAAGGTGTGGCACTGACCAGTCTTCCCACAGCATTCTCTGTACTGGGATCAATAATTTGTTGCACTGGCCACACAGAATTCAGCACCATACTCAGAGATCTGGGGTTTATTGGGGAAGCTAACAGGTCACAACGCCGTCAGATATGCTCAGAGCACAGCTGTTCCAGTCAGCTGCTGATAAATGCCTAGAGGGCACACCACTCCACCATAAACCTCAGCCTGAAGGCTCTTGGCTCTAGTTCCATGGGGGTCAGGAAACCCAGCTCCCTCACTTCAGTGCCTGGAGGTTCTCCAGTCTACAGCAAGCTTCCTGCCCAAAGTCACTGAGCTTTACTCTGCTTCCTGCTCTGGTTCGTGTTTCTGCTGCTGCTGTTCCTCTGTTGTTCTTCCGGTACCACAGATTTCTATCCATGGGTTGAGGAGGTTCAGTGCATATGGAGCTTAGGGTCGAAAGGACATGTTCTACACCCAGCTCTTCTTCCATGGTAATGAGATTTCCTCCCCTGTGCTTCTGAAATGGTTCCTTTTATACCCATGCTAGATTTCCAAGTTTTTACAATCGCCTCTGCTAACCTCCACAGCTGAATCTTGTCATCCTATCAGTATCTTCTCTTACCCAAACCCAGCAAGGCAGAAATGCTGTTTGGTGGGGAAAACAGAGACAACAGAAAATTCACTGCACGACAATTAACACTGTTATATATTGATTAAGGAGCACTGGTACCATAGAGGATTACAAGCTAGGCTGCTAATCTCAAGGTCAGTAGTTTGAATCTCCCAGTTGCTTCTTGGGTGAAAGATGAGACTTTCTGTTCCTCTAAAGATTTACAGCCTCAGAAATCCTATACCGAGTTTCTATGAGCCAGAACCACATATTAATTGTTTAGCAAAAATATCGTGACCACAGGCTCACAGAAACCTAACCCTGTATTTCCCCTAGGAACAATGGTTCAGTATTTGCTAGTTTAGGGTTTGCAGTGATTTCATAGAACATTAAAACCAAAACATAGTTGCTTTTGAGTTGACGTCAACTCATGATAGAAGTTGAGTTGTGTGTCAGAGTGGAATTATACTCCACAGATGTTTTCTGTGGCTGGTTTTTTCAGAAACAGATTGCCACAGCTTTCTTGTGAGGTGTCCCTGGGTAGACTTGACCCTCCAACGTCTCAGTTAGCACTATAACTCATGCTAAATGAAACGTATTTAACACATTTTCTCCGTAGGGCACATCACAGTCTTCTTAGAGTTAGGAACGCTAGGCATCACTTCAGCACTATGCTGAGAGACAGCAGGGCATTTTAAACAGAAAATTCAACAAAAAGGCGCAATGTGGGCACTAAATAGACTGCCAAAAAGGCACTGGTTTCAGAACTGAAATAAAAATGCAGAATGTCACGCTATACATTGCTGGTAATTTGTGTGTTGGATGATTCAACTTTTTCACCCATCGGGCTGCGAACCGCAAGGTCATCAGTTCGAAGCTGCCAGAGAAAGATGAGGCTTTCTGCTCCCGTAAAGATTTACAGCCTCGG